CTGTCTGATCTGAATATTGTACAGATGCCTACCATGCAGGGTTTGGATGTTCTACCAAGAGAACCTGCAGACCTCATGCATTAATCACCTCTCCCAAAGAGGTCACTGGTGTAGTTCCAATGCCACAGAAGGGAGATGTTTTAGCATAGATGGAGTTTGTGGTTTTGTACAAATCAAACTTTGCCTTTCCTACCATAGTGGGCGCAGCAGTACTGGGCAATAATGGATGAGCATGATCAACAAGGATCTCAGTGTCCTGTGAAATTGCAACAAGCTTTCTGAGTCATTGAAGGAAGATTTGATTAGGTTTGTCTCATTGAGAGTATGTAACATTCCATGTATTTGAAAACTGACAGCTAATGTCCTACATTCAGTCATTTGTTTGATTCAGTTCAAAAGGATGTACTGTGGACCTGGTACATAGAAGCCCTCCTTCCCTAATAAGAACATTTGATTAACTAAGACCCTCTATTTCCCCACCCAACGGTAGGGGCACACACAGGCGGTAACAATGGTGTTCCTTTTGGCCAGTCTAAATAACTGTCTCTAGCCCACCACTGCTTTTTATTCCTCCCCTAGTCAGTATTGCCATTCCCTTCTTTGCCAACAGTTTATCGAGCACTGACTGTGTATTAGACACTGGCCCATGACTTTGAGATACTAGCCATTTGCTGATGGAATGAAACCCATAAATACTGCGATACAATGCAGTAGGGTAAATGGCATAGCAGAGGGAAGCACATACCCTCGTAGTCCCTCTCGGGAAGCAGGATAAAGTTATCCAGAGATTTTACCTGGATTTTAAACTGAGAGACTAGGAGATGTTCAGACAAAGCAAAGGCATTACAGGAAGTGAGAGAACTTAGGCAAAGGCACCAAGGTGTGATAGAATACGTGGTGTCCGAAGCCAGTCGAGTAGCTGGAGAGAAATAGAGGAGATGCAGCAGGTAAGAAATTTAGCAGCATTTTTAAAGAGGCTGGAAAAATTAGCAAAAGGAAATAATAGCAACCAGGACAAGATCATTGAGCAGGAGAGTGACATGGTCCAATTCTACTTTTCAGATAATTTAGCAATCCATGTGGAAGATTACTTGAGATGGTGCCAAAGGGACCTATGGTGAAAAAGACTGGTTAGAGTTCAGGCAACAAATGATGAGGGCCTTTACTGACCAGAGACAGAGGGGATGGAGCGAAGGGGCTGGATTTAGCAGGTGGAATTGGTAACCAATTTGCTGTGTGTTGTGAAGAAGAGTGAGGTTATGGGAACTATAGTTTTTTTTATGGAGTCATGGTTAATTGTACTGAACAAAATAAGAAATAGAGGAAGAGAATTAATTTTGTGGGGGAAAATAAAGAGTGTGTTTGGTATCAGGTGAATCTGATGTGCCTTTGATATATTAAGTTGGAAATATCTGTAGTTAGTTTATATATCCCTATAGTTAGGAGAGAGAGAAAGATGGAGGAGTGGGGAGGGAGGGAAGAGAGAGAGAAAGAGGGAAAAGGAGAGAGAGAGAGACAAAACATGCTGACAAAAGAGGTGGTAGGGGAAGAAGGTGGTGTCATAAGAAAGATTTCCTCTTCTCCTCCTTTAAAACACTTGAGGCATTTTACGGCTTAAAGCAAGCAGATTTTTCCTGGGAGCTACGTCCAGAAAATAAATGCATGATCAGGATAGTCAAAGCCTTCCAAAGAGGCTCAGTGATCATTTTTACAGTGCACCTAAAGCACAGGGAGATCTGGCTGGAGGAACAGAGAGGGGAGCGAGGAAGGGAGGAAGGATGTGGCTCGGAGAGGCCTGGTGCCTTTGAAAGAGGAAAAGGAACTGACTCCTTAGGGCATCTTTTCTCAAACTTCAATAATCCATCCACCCACCACCGTTATGTTTTTCTGTTTTTTGTGTTTTGTTTTGTTTTGTTTTACTTAATTGGTTTATTTGTTTATTTATTTTTGCTCTCTAAATTAATTTCCTTTTTAAACTTAAAAACATTTATGCAAAATAGGCAATATCGCTTTTGAAAATGGAGACCTGCATGATTTACAATGAATATTTAGGGGGACTAATTTGAAAAGTTAAAAGCTTCAATGAACATCTTAAAATGATTACATTCTGGCTAGATACTGTTGCTTGCCCATGGCTGTGAACATGAGTCCTGCTCTCTCTTGGCAAAGAAGGGTGATAAATAAGCATTAGAAAGGTTTTGAAGACATTCTAGCACAAATCCTGATTTCCCCCTCTAGGCAATCACAAGGATTGAAATAAATTTGGAAAGAGAACAACTTTCTCACTAAGTAATTCATGTTATTTAATTTTGGGTGCCACAGGTGGCAGTCACCCAACTCTTTGAGAAAAATGTCCTAGAATTAATGCTAAGGAGAGATGAGGAGTCTGCTGGAATCATCTTGAGGCAAAGAGCCAATTCCCGCCCCCTTCCCTTGGAGCCTACAGCGGTCAGAACTTACAGGAGCCCATTCTCCCTGGTGTAAGGAATACTCTGGAAGAGGAGAGCCATGCGTGGATGGAATCCTTAGGCATCTGTGTTGGTGCTGTGCTTCCTGGTGAGATGGGATCTATGGAAGGGCTCCATGGTAAGGAGAAAGCCCAGGAGGCTTACGGGGTGGTGGCCAGAAGGCTCCTCTTGGAGCAGAGAGAACGAGTTGGACAGAACGGATGACCCCGCATGTGTTGATAGAAGCAAGTAGTAGTAGCCGTAGCCTTTGGCTGACTGAGCCACTTAGAAAACCTTATGTGCTGCTAACTTAGCAGCAACATCTCCAGAGAAGAAGACCCGGCAGGCAATTCAACATGCGCCCATGTGCTTTATGGACAGTGACGTGCGCTGGGCCCATCCGTCATCAGGGAGAGAGACCTCAGCTTAACAAGGCCTGAGGATGAACATTTCACATCACTTATTCATTGGTTTGTAGATCTGACTTTTCAGGACACAACATAGAGTTTGAAGTCATTTGAAATGTTAAAAAAAAATGACAAATCTCATCTTCCCACTGTTACTATGATGGGATGTTTTTCTGATCTCTTTGCTTTCATCAAATTAATTGCCTGTTCCTTTGCAATGGCTTAGATACAAGGATATAGATACTGTCTGGAGGAACAGTTTGGCTTTGAATGGTAATGTGTAATGAGCATGCAATGGCTGTTCTTGGAAAACTGGAAAGAGATGTATGCATGAGGTTTACTAACCCATCCAGGGGTGTAACTTAATTTAGAATGTTTGCTTGGGATGTTTGAAGTAGGTACTAGAAAAATGCCAACAGTCTCGGACTTGTTGGAAGGTCATAGCTTAGCCAAATATTGCCACTTTTAATTCAACACAGAACATCAGAATGTCAGAACTGCAAGGGACCATAGGGACCATCTAATTAAAGGACCTCATTTTTCAGAGGAGGAAACTCAGAGGCCAGAAGTGATTCGCCCAGGGCCAGGCCATGAAACTCACAGTAGACCGAGAAATAATCGCTTGTCCTTTTCATTTACATAAGCTAAATAAAAAGTCATCTTAAGTTAATAGAAAATACATCATCTGGCTGATGAAGAAAAGAGACTATCCAAAATGTAAAAGGAGGTTAGTTAAAAATAATTCTTGTTTGTGATGAATAGTTTTTGTATTCCCTAGCTGTCTAGACATTTAATAATTTTTGTCCTCCTAGTGCTTAGAAAATTTGCTTAAGATAGGAAATATAAAAAAAAGGAGCAGAAAAGGTAGCGATTGATGAGACAGAGACTGCCTCCTCACACTTTCCAATGTCACGAGCCTTTTCCAGGGGATATTTTTTTTTTTTTTTTTAGGAGCTATTTTACACTTAGATAAAGGGCATTTTCTGTGCTTGGTCCTGGGCTTCTGCCATTTGGTGAAAACATTGGTTCTGTGGCTCCTAAGGGCAAGGAACCAACAGTTCAATGAGAAAGTGGCCGAGGCTCTGCCTGAGGGTCGGGGCCTCCCACCTTCAGGTCTCCGCCCCCTTAGGGTGAGACCTCAGAGTTCTGCAGCCCAGAAGGAAAACTTTTAGAAGAAGACACAGGCAACCCAACTGGGCTGCTTTTCTCACCTGAGAGAGAACCTAACAGAGAAAGCAACACCATACACTGTCAAAATCAGATGCCATCAACTGAAATGACTGCTTCTGACTGCTTTTCCACCAGGCCACTGGAATGGGCGTCCCGCTAAGGGCATCGATCTTTCTAGCAATAACAGTAATAAGCCCTTGGATTTGTACAAAGGTTTACAGTGACAAAAGGCGCTCACATATATTTCTCATTTACTCCTCGTGGCAACTCCATATAGGGATAATCATCCCCACTCTACACAGGAGAAAACCGAGCCGCAGGCAAGTTAGCAGACATCTGAATGGGATTCTGACTCTTAGTTCAGTGCTCTCACCACTTTATGATGCTTTCCTTCTATTACTTATAAAAATCCACCTTATTGCAGCAGCCTTACCCCCTGCTGGAAGGAAACGATGTACTTAGAAATGAACACAAAGTGCTTAGCCTGTTTCTTGACACAAAGTAAATGCTTACCATCTGATAACTACTGTTGAGGAAGAGGCACTGTGGTGGAATAATCGCCATCGCAGCGTTTGGAATCCGAAAGATCTAGATTTGAGTCCTGAGCCTGGCCCCTTCTGCACTCTGAAAATGCTTTCTGTGAGCTGGGCCAAATGTCTCGACTTCCTTGGGGACATTAACACCTACCTCATAAGACAGAATTTTGAAATGTGATGCATATGTGCATGCAGAGCTTTGTAAGGTGTCTATACTTAGTGTTCAGTAAGTGTAGAGATCATTATAGACCTTATTGCAAGGAGGAAAGCAATGCCTGCCTTAGAACCATTTCACAGTTAAGCATCTTGATTTTTAAGTCTCTGGTATTCAAAGGCTTCCTGTCTTTGCTTCCTCCTTGACTTTCTGCACCTAAGAGAATTTATGAGAGTGTTCTGTGGACCCCACAGCTTCCATGCCGGTCTTTGTTGTGGTCAGGTACCTGTATATGATGCATGCTGTGTTCTGGCAGGTACTGCAATTGTTGAGATCTTGGCCAGTTCGATAAAAGTTGCGCCTGCAAGATAGAGCATTTGCTGGGTAAATCTATGGGCAAAAGTCCCGTGGGATGCACGCAATTCTACCGACCCTTTCCTGCAGCCCAACATTGTCCCTCTCATCGGGAGCAAGGCTCTTAATTTGCATGACCATTACAAATAAGGAAACGGGAACCCCATAATAATAGGACCTCGTCTTTACAGAGCTTTATAAATGTTTAAGCACTTTCAAATCTGAGATTTTTTCATGCTGACAACAATCCTGTGAAATAAGTCAGTTATTCTTAATCCCTTGTATAGAGGGGAAACAGAGTAGAAGGGAGGTTATTAAAACTCCTGACCTCTGAATTCAGTACATTTCTCTCTGTACCCATCATAGAGCTTCTCTCTTATAAGACGATGATGATTCTGATGTATATCAGCAAGTGTCACTTGATTACTTCTGTCTCCTACTTTTCTGTTGATTCGCTTTCGTCATTCCTTCTTCTCAGTCTTTAGGGAGCCCATTTTTCTAGAGATGAACATTGCACACCTAAATAAATAACTGCCTTTCCCTCCCCAGACTGGTGCTGAGTCACCCAGGAAAGCATTTTATCTTTGCAGAATTGTGATTTCATTTCAGTTTCTACTTAGCTGGTCAGTGATGGACTGGCCCATGCCATGAAAGTGGTCAATAGAAGGGAAGGTCACCAGTAAGCTTGGTGGCCACCTTGAGTCCTTTGTGAAAAACACACAGATAACCAAAATACTGTGCAAATTCTGTGACTTGCTTCAAGGATGGGGTGTGGGAAGTACCTGCATGCTATCATTTTCCTCCATCATTTTTTAGCTGGGCCCCCATCTTAATAAAAAGCATTTTTCACCCCGCTACTTCATATGCCCCCTTTCTCCAGTCTGTTAATATTTGGAAACAAAGACAAATAGCTGTGGAAAGCCACCCAAGCTTAGGACTGAATGGAGCCTA